TTGTTGAGCCAGGACTCAACATACTCGGGCTTGCGAGTCCCAAACTGTCACTCCCCTTTCTGCCGGCCGGGGTGGGGCGCGCGCGGGGGCGGCGGGTGTGCGCGGGTGTGAGGGATGTCTGTGAGCCCGAGAGCGATATGCCATGTCCGCCTTGCGTTTGTTTTCATAACATCGAAGGCTAAGCTCAAAAAGAAAAAATCGCTACCAGGGAGACCCGCGTTCCAGCGCTGCTGGTTGCCGCGGCGCTTCAGCGAGCCCTCACGGCACGGGAATGCACCCGCACACCCTCCTCTCGGACAGCGCGCCCGACTCCTCCTCCGATGCTCCCACGCTCGAAAGCCTGCCTCCAGAACTGATTGCCGCCATCGGCGCGCATGTAAAGCTGCCGTGGCTCGGCCGCTTTGCGTGCTGCTGCGCAGCTGTTGCCGGAGCCGTCCGCCAAGCCGAGGAGGCCTGGGCGGCCGTGTGGGCCTCCTTGACCGGTGGCGTGGCGCCCGCTCCGCTCGGCGCCCGCGCGGCGGTCCGGTCCTTGCTCACGCTCGACCAGGCTCACTGGCGCTCGCTGCCCGGATCGAGTGGCGAAGCACCGGACTGGCGGCAGCACGGCTGCGTCCTCACCTGCAGCGGCGGCACGCGGCTCATCCTCTTTGGAGGGCGCGACGGCCGCCGCTTCTTCTGCGACACGTGGGCTTGCGACCTGGCATCCGGTGCCTGGGTGCGGGTGGCGGCCCATTCGGACGCTCGCTGCCCGTCGCCGCGATGCTTCAACAGCGACTCTGGCGGCGGGCGCGTGCTGCGGAGCGGCGAGGAGGAGTGGGCAGTCTTGCACGGGGGCCTCTGCGCGCCTGGCTACCGCGACAGCCAGACCTGGCTCCTCGGCCCGCTGTCGCACCCGCCGGAGGAGTGGTCCTGGCTGCCCGCCTCTCCGCCAGATCACGTCGAGGGAGCTGCGCCGGTGGCTCGCTTTCACCACACCCTGACTCTGCTCCCGCGCCGCGAGGCCGCGGGCGACGACTCGCTCGCCCTGCTCGGCGGGCACGACCGCACCATCTCCCCGCTCCTCGACCTCCGCCTCTTCTCCCTCCGGCACGCCTCCCTCCCGCGCAAAGCAAGCGGCGTAGCGGCCGCCTCTGTCTCCGTTGGCTGGAGCAGATCTACGCACGTCCTCGGGCCGGCGCCGTCGCCTCGCGCCTTCCACTCCGCGGCCCACTACGACCACCCCGCCGCCGGGAGGGGCCTCCTCCTCGCTTGCTGTGGGCTGGGGCCTGCGGCGGTACCATCTCCCCATATCTCCCCATACCTCCTCCTCGCCTGCTGCGGGCTGGGGCCTGCGGCGGGGGGCGGGGAGGGGGGGTACGCGGCCCTGTGAAGAGAGGAGCTGTGAGCAGAAGAGCTGTGAACAGGGCGGGGAGGAGGTGTTCGCGGCTCTCGACGACACGTGGGCCTTCGACCTCAGCTCCGGTCGGTGGCTCGAGCTGGCCGCCAGGCTGCCGCATGGCTTCGCCCGCTCCCGCGCCGCCCTCGCCGTCTCTCGCGACCGCCTCCTCCTCGCCGGAGGATGCAGAGCCCGGTACGATCTCCCCACATCTCCCCACATCTCCCCATACCTCCTCGTCGCATACCTCGCCGGAGGCTGCAGAGCTTGGCCCGCCGCGCTGTTGGCCACCTCCCTCCCACGCTCCCCCCGACCCTGACCCGAGCCCGCTCCTCCTCTGCCCGGTAGGGCTCCCGCCCTGGCGACCTACCTCCCCCTCACGCCGGGCCCCGCCTTCGACGACGTCTGGCTGCTCGACCTGAGGAGGGCTGTGAACAGAAGGGCTGTGAATAGAAGGGCTGTGAATAGGTCTGGCTGCTCGACCTGAGGAGAGGTCTCCTCCAGTCGGAGCTAGGACCTCGCCCTGCGGCTGCCTTGGAGAGTTTGCTACAAGCAATCTCTCTCTGTACTCCAATGCACGAGCACTAGGCCTCCG